TCAGAATTGTTAAATTGTTTAATCATTCAAGTATTTTTATTATTTAAAAAACCTTTGTAAAAAGTGTTAGAGTTACTGTAAGTCTGTCTCCTTGTGAGGGGTTATGGTCTGTTTACTGAGACCCTGTGAGCCGCTGGAGCAGTGTGTGTGTGTGTGTGTGTGTGTGTGTGTGTGTGTGTGTGTGTGTGTGTGTGTGTGTGTGTGTGTGTGTGTGTGTGTGTGTGTGTGTGTGTGTGCGCCCTGTTGCGTGCTGAGTTTCAGACTGAAGTGTCCGGCCTGTGAGCTGCGGGACACGGCATCACACACTCCGCTGCTACCCCGCTGACACATCGCTTCATTCTCCACACACACACACACACAAACAAACACACACACACACACACGAGAAGAAAAGTAGTCCCTCTCATCCTGCAAAATATTAGAGACTTTAAGAGAGGACTCCCCCCTGAATATGGAGTGTGAGCGTCCATGCAGCTGGCCTGCTAAGTGAGGGGGACGGAGGCTCGGTGTCCAGGCCTCGGTGTCCTGCCAAACCACCCCCCAACAACCCCCCCCCCCCAGGCCTGCACACACAGGGGCTTTCTGTGTGTGTGTGTATAATGCTTCCTGTATAGGGGAAGCCTTGTGCCTACGTGCAGTGTCTCAATAAAGCGTGGAGCGAGCGCAGAAACACAGAGGAGTGCAGCGGGTTATATTCAGGCAGACGTTGTTATTCTCTGTGATCTGTCCCTGCTCTGCAGCGTGTGTCGGTGTGTGTGTGAGGCTCCGTTGCAGTGTTTGTTGTGTGTGTGAGGCTCCGTTGCTCCGTTGCTTTACCACTAGGCTGCACTGTCAGTCTTCCTGTCTAATAGGCTGCGAGGACGACAACGCTGTCATCTTTCAGAGGAGAGGACTTAAACACAACACACATAATCACTGATTCATGTCCCTGACGTATGAACACATGACCAGAGGGCTTCGTGGGAGAAGAGATCGCTTTGTGACAAAAAAGGGATCAAATGTAGAAAAAATATGAACTCTATATTACTAGCATGGCATGAGGTATTTTAGAAAAGCAACCTTTTTGCCCAGGAACGACTTTCCATTAACCCTTAAATTGGCAGTCACATGACATTTTCTACATTACACACATAGTACACTGTTATTTAACCCATATTCTACATTAATACACCCCTTTTACCCATGTTACACTGTTATTACACCATAATTACATAGTCTTTAGACTCATATTACCACCAATATTGCAAATTAAGTACTGTATACTGTCATTACACCCACATTACACATTAACCCCTATTACACTCATGTTATACTGTTATGAGACCCATATTAAACCCAGTTATTATGTTGTTATTACCCCCATTGTACACAAGGACACAGCCTGTCAAATGACTGTAAGGGTTAAGATGTCCAGCCCGGAGCTACTTGCCATCAAATATAGATATCAAATTGTTTGTTCTGTATGTTTGCACCCGAACATGTTCTCCTTTTATTGTTTTGTATTGAACCAGAAAAAAAATCCCACTCGCCGCTTTTTCCGTCACCTTCTGCATCCGTGATAATTGATTTTCCATGGAGAGACACATCAGTGTGACATCTTAGTTTAGGCAGCAGTGTAAAGTCCCCCTTTTCATTTAAAGCTACAGGAGGTGGCAGAAAATGTCCACGTCTAAAATAAAGTTAGTCATTATTAGGACATTGTGTCTCGGACTATGAATTTAAAAAGACGAGTTATACTAATATTGTCGAGGTCATTTTGTCCTTTAACCATAAATGAAGCAGTTTGAGGGGAGAATAATGTGTGATAGATGTGTTACTATAAACACACACAAAGACACACACACACACACACACAGAGGAGCTCATTAAAATGGCTCCCCATAGCTCTCTGCGCTCACAGTGAGTCTTTGAGAAGCCTTGTTGTTGTGTACAGTATTTGTATCCGCCATAATGGGAAATTTTACGACGCGGCAACAGTGAGGGGAGTCCCCTGAACGCCTCGTGATGGGAATTTGAAAATCCACCTGGGTTTACCTGCGGGGTCTGTGGGCAGTGTGTGTGTGTGTGTGTGTGTGTGTGTGTGTGTGTGTGTGTGTGTGTGTGTGTGTGTGTGTGTGTGTGTGTGTGTGTGTGTGTGTGTGTGTGTGTGTGTGTGTGTGTGTGTGTGTGTGTGTGTGTGTGTGTGTGTGTGTGTGTGTGTGTGTGTGTGTGTGTGTGTGTGAGCAGATGGTGGGGGTCAGTGCGTGCCCATACTGTTTGTGGGGCTCGTTGCTGTGTGTTGGCTAAATATAGCGCCGCAGTGAGAGAGCTGACTCTCACTTTAATTCTCTGATCGTTTCAGCAACGTTCATTTCACCTCAGTGTGATCCAGTCACTTCAAAGCAAAGGGAATTAATTAATTCCAGCTATATAAACTAACCGGCCGTAGAATGACAGTGAAAGATGTGATTTTACCTTGACAACTGTTAAAAAAATGTAAAATACATGATCTTACCTCAAT